GGAGCATCGATCAGGGCACCCTTGTTGCGATCAAACGGCTTAAACCCAAGTCGCAACAAGGGGTCCCAGAGTTTAGGGCGGAGATCGATGTGCTCTCCCAACTCCGCCACCAACATTTGGTGTCTCTCATCGGGTACTGTAAAGATAGAAGGGAAATGATCTTGGTGTATGAGTACATGGAAAATAAGACTCTTTATGATCATCTAATGAACCCAAAATCCGATCCTAATGCACAACCACTTTCTTGGGAAAAACGGCTCCAAATTTGTATTGGCGCAGCGCGTGGTTTGCACTACCTTCACACTGGTGGTACGGAAGGCACCATCATCCACCGTGATGTAAAAAGCACGAACATTTTATTGGACGAGAAATGGGTGGCCAAAGTTTCGGATTTCGGGTTGTCGAAAATGAGCTCGATAACCATGTCGAAGACCCACATTACCACGGCAGTGAAGGGTAGTTATGGGTATTTGGACCCAGAATACATGCTTCGAAATCAATTGACTGAGAAGTCGGATGTGTACTCATTCGGCGTCGTGTTGTGTGAGGTGTTGTGTGCAAGGCCAGCCTTGATGCGTACAGTGGAGAAGAAGGAAATGAGTTTGGCTATCTGGTTCAAGGCCTGCCATCAGAATGGGGAACTTGATCAAATCATCGATCCAAGCTTGAAGGGTAAAATTGAAGACGAATGCTTCAAAGTGTTTGTTGAGATTGCGTTGAGTTGTATGCATGAGAATGGGAGACAACGTCCGTCGATGAACAACGTGGTGGATGGGCTTGTGCAAGCATTAAAACTTCAGCAGAACGGAGATAAAATGGACGAGGATGATGAAACCAAGGGTGAATCGAAGGAGGCTGTAATTATGAACGAGAGCGATAGAGGTTTTAGTTCCAGCTGGACAGAGTCGTCGGATTCGAAGAACAGTAGTAGGGTGACCAACACCAGTAGTGACCAAAGTTGTTCGACCACCAACAATTCCATTAAAGGAATGTCCGGGACAGTTTTTTCCGAGATCAAAGATCCTAGTGGAAGATGATGCGTGACGATCATGATCAGCACTTGTAATAAAATTAAAGAGAACAATATGTCTGGCTAAAACTCAGAAGCTTCATTTGGATTGTATGGTATGTTTTAATATTATTGTAAGCTTGTAATTCTAACTCAATTTGTGATTGTTATTTCTTAAAATTCCAAGGCGTGTACAAGATGCATGAATTGTTTATTCCGATGAGGATGACCAAGTGTATTGGATTTTTATGCATGCCATTGCCAACTGTGGAAGCTCCGATATGCTATTCGTTGTGCAAAAGTTGGGGAATCACATGGTCTTTTAATATTCTTAATTAAAGTGAGATGGTGGGAGACCTGATAAACTGATAATTGAACTTTTTTCTTTTTCTTTTTTCGTAGTATATGGGGCCACAGCCAAAATCATCACATCATAAAAGTTGCAACCAATTAGGTTTAGTTTTCTTATATTATGGCTTCTAAAAACAAATGAATAAAACATTTGTAAGAAAAATACATCACACAATTTTGTTCAAACAATTTTAGTTCAAAAAAATAATAATTGAAGACAAAACAATTATGGTGGAGTTTTTAGTATAATACAATTATGATGAGAAAAAACTGATTTAATACCTTTAAAATATAAAAAATAAAACATAAAACTCCCATCAAGCAACAACCACCTTCCTCCTCAACCCATCCCCTATATTGCCTGCCAATTGCCGCTGCCCCTCATTAAGTGATTAACATCCTTTTAACTGCGTGTGAATACACGGATGCTAAATGCAAAGACTTGAGATCCCACTTTGTCACAATGGCCTAAATTTGAAGTGATAATGGTAAAATTCTTCCTTAAATTTATCATTATTTTTTATAATTATTCCACAAACCATGAATTACCAGAATAGAGGCCATCATTACTTTACTTCTTTCCATGGTCAATTTCTGTATCTCTTTCTGATTTCTCTGTCGGATTCTTCTGCATAGGTTTTTCTTTGTTTCTTCTTCAACAACCTCTCTCTCTCTCTCTCTCTCCCAATAATTGTACGGAACATGGATTCCACCGTAAATTAATTACATTGCATAACATAATCATATATTATATATCGTGTAAAACGAGCCAAGGAAGGGATAGTGGATGGACCAACCCATTGAATAATATTAAACCTTGGATCACAGACTATCACTTACCAAGTGTCGCTTTTGGCTTTAGCTGTCTTATCCAATTCGATTTTGAAACGCTAGCTCAGCTTAGCTTAGCTTCTTCTTAATAATTGATGGAGGGCAAGTGCTGATGCTGCGGTGCTATTGGTCGCTTGGCTTAATCTTCCCATTCTCCTCGTCATTGTCCTACTAATGGTCACATCAGCCCATAAAGGAGACATTGTCGTACTAATGGTCACTCTAAATTTCTGAGTTTGAAACCCAGTTGTTTGTTGGGGCTTTATATTTATGTTCGTTTGAAACCGATTCCCAACCATGGTTTAACCCGCATGGCCAAGTCCCCGTAGACCCAAATCCAATCCATTTTATTTCAACGTGAGACAAGCAAACACTCAGAGAAATTTCAACACAAAAATTACAAAATTAAATTTGAATGTAGTATGACTAGCATTTTTGTTAAATGAATAGTGGTGCCTCTTTGTGGTTTTTGGTCATGCTAATTGGAGTGAGAGCTGCAGGCTCATATTGAAGTCCTCCAAGTTAACAGCTGTGTCCCTTTCAGCAGCTGAAAAATGAAATGAAATTTTGTGTTGCTTTGCTATTAGAGCCACAATTGTGTATGGTCTTATCAGAGATACCTTGATGGTTACGTATAGTTTATTTTTGAGACAATTTTGATATCGATCCAAATTCCCAATTAAGAGTTTAGTTTAATTCTCAAATTTTGTGTTTTTATCTAAGTCCTCTCACATTTATGTCGCATAGGATTACATTTCTTTTTTAATTTTAAGATGTAATTATATTTTTTTTGTTTAAAATTATTTTTTTTGTTCCAACTATGTCCCCTTATGATTTAAATCGGGTAAGATTGATTTGTATCTTAATAATTAGCAATTTACAATGTGTGCAATTGAATATAAACGGCAAATACTGCAGACGTATCCCAAGAATCATGCTCTTTTCAATCCAATCTTTGCTGGTTTATTACTTTTTCATTTTAGAGTTGAAATTATTTCAAATTAGGGTTCAATATTATAGATATTACCTGAGCCCGATGGTCAGATGCAATAAAGCGTTTGACATAATTTCACAATTTGTCGTCAGTTTGCAGCACATGCCTTCCAGGTATTTTTATTATTTAGGTTTTTGATAGTTTTTGCTTACTGGTTCCTTATGCTAATATGTGCAATGTTCTTTTGAGATCATAGTTTGTGATTATGTTTTGCAGGTTGCGTGGTAGTACCTGGACTGTAGATTGTTTGGTATTTGCGTGGTAGTACTTGTAATTTGGGTATCTGTATATGTACCTTGGTGCGGTGGGTACAGGGTGCGATGTATACCTGATATATAGGTAAGGTGTTGGGGAAGGATACATGTGGTGAAGGTAGTCGCCATTTTACTTATACGGGCAATGTTTCTGTCAAACTATTTTGGCACTCTTAACATTGAAAGAGTAATTTAAAGAACAGTAAATTTCCGTACACTCCCCTGGATTAGGACCACCATCAAACTTAACCCTCTGAATTAAAAAATCAATCAATTTAACATCCCAATTAATTAAAATGGCTAATTTAACCTTGTCGTTAAGTTTTGTGAATTTCAACCAAATTTTCTGTTAACTATAAGAGTAAATTTGTAATTTCAAGTAAAATAAATAATCAATCAATCAAACAAAAAGAAAAATAGAATAACAATGGCGGCACATAGGAAAAGCTTCTTCACTAATCAACAATGCCGGACGACGATTACAACGAAATGGATATGGGATTCTAAACCCTGACATGCATTTGATACTCATAACTCAACAAGTAACTTATTCAGAACTTGTTGATGCAGATATAGGAACCAGATTTGCCACGAGATCGAAATCCTCCACAACATCGGCAACCCCAACATCGTCAAGTGCCACGGCATTTTCGACCACAACGGGGAGATCCAGGTGACGGCAGCTCGTTGGAGTGCCAAAGGAGAGAAAGAGAAGGGTGGAGAGGGGAAGAGATGGGGACAGAGAAAGTCACGTTTTTTTTCTTCGTCTTTTATTTTATTTTATAACTATTTTAGCTTTTTATAGTAATAATAATAATAAAATCAAATAGCTTTTTACCCTATCGAAACCGAATTGTTGGGGATTTTTATTTGTTATATTAGTTTGAAATGAATTCCCACACACAGCCAAGTTCCACAATAATATCTCTCAAAGATATTCCTCTACCCAATAATCTATTTTATTTCAATCAATTGTAGTGTTTTGTGGTCCTAGTTTATTTTTCTTTCACATCTCTAGTTAATCACTGTACAAATTCTATATAGTCAGTCTACCACCCCCGTCAACTACTCTCTAGGGGATATTGGTCATGTGGATGTGGATGATTTGTATTCTCCATGGATAGAGAGCTGAGAGTCACTTGACACAAAAACTTTTCTAGATTCGGGACCGGCGTAAGAATCCAAACACCATCGACCAATTCCCTTACTATCAAACAAAGTATGGCAAATATTCAAGTATGCTCATATATGTATTCTTCTCCAATATGAAGGTATTTATAAAGAAATATAATCCTAAATAAAATAGGAAATAAATCCAAATTACAATAGAAAATAAATCTCAATTATAATAGACTAAACAAATGAGTAAGTAACCAAAATCCTAAGTAAGATTCGCTAACACTTACAAATTCATTATCAAGAATGGTAACTAGAATTTGACCCAAAAATAAATAAATAAATAAAAAGAATGGTAGTTAGAACAAGAACTTACAAATTTTGAATAAAAAATCTTTCAACCATGGTATACTCCAGTGGATGTGGATGGATGTGAATGGACGGGCCCTTGTTGAAGACTTGTGGTTTTGATGGATAGAGAGATTTGAGAGTCACTTGACACAAAAAGTTTTTTTAGATTTGAGTCGGGGGGTAAGAATGAAAACTAGACCCGCCTCCCTTACAAATTTTGAAATTCATAGTCATTACTAGTTAAGAAGCTGATCGATGATGGCTTAAAATGTCGTTATCGACATTGACTTTTCCACTAATATGATAAAATCAAAGAGAGACGAGTTCCGGGAAGGAGACCTTTTCCAAGGGTGTCAGTTTTCTTTTTGAAAAAGAACCCTATCGTCAGCCACTGAATTAAGGACGCAAAAATTTAATCAGGACAAGCTGTGGGACATAACATAACTATTAATTAGACATATAACTTTGAATGATTCAGAGGGTTGATTGAGAAAATGATCAAGTGAGAAACAGAGCAAGAACCCGAGCAATCAAACAGCTTTCCCATTTCATCATCCTCCATCAACATTTATTCAATTATCATGAAGAACGTCACAAGCCGCAAACACCTTTATGCAACCTTAAAACCTCTTTACCTATTATTCCTGTTTCTACACATGATCGTCACCGTAGTGGTGGCTCAAGATGAAGACGGGTCATCTGTCTACGTTCCGACCGATTTGATCGCCGTTGCATGCGGCTATACCGGCCCCCAATTCAATTCTCTTGATCACCGATATTGGATTGGAGATGTGTATTCAAAATATTCCCCCTTAGAAGAACACCAGTCTGGTCAAGCATCCGTCGTCAGAGAAGCTCCACCGTCCTCCTCCGTCACTAAAATGCCTTACATCTGGGCGCGGCTTTCTCGCTCTGCATTTACTTACAGGTTTTCCTTTGCTACCGCCGGCCCAAAGTTCATCCGCTTCTACTTCAACCCAGTTTCATATGCCCCTGACCTGGACCGCTCTAAAGCACTTTTCTCTGTCGCAGCCGGTGGCTATACCTTTCTCCACGACTTCAATGCTTCAGTCACTGCAGATGCTTATGGCGAGGAGACTCTGCGCAGAGAGTTCTGTTTAAACGTTGATGGAAAAAAGCTCCTCAACATCACATTTACTCCAAGCCAATCAAGCCTAGATGCGTACGCTTTTATCAACGGAATTGAGATCGTATCCATGCCTACCAATCTCTACTACAATGCAACCGATGGGAGAATTAGATATGTAAGCAACGGCGGGGGAAAGGAGTTTCGCCTCAGAAACAGCACTGCTCTGGAGACGGC